AGCACTTGACCAGGACTCTAACCAACAGCCACATTACAACGGGTGAGAAAGACGAGGATAACCGGGCAGCCACGCTCACGACTTGTATACTGAGCGGAAGTGCAAACGCATCTACCGGCAGTGAACCAGGTGCCCGAGAATTGCCAGCGCACACCAGACTGCGAGGGCCATCGTTTACTGGTCATGACATAGCAGATACTTATATACCTTGAGGCCCGGCTGCCATATAGAGAGAATGAGAAATAATCATCGGTAATTTGACCGTTTAACGAAGTGGCATCCACCAATGCCCACTAGCTGGGTACAGGTGTAACTCCTGCAGAAAAATGTTTGTAGTGAACTGAACTTTCGTCGCATCTACCTCACCCTCTCCTGCCAGAATAGCCGCCAAATTCTGGAGTAAAGTGGCATGCCAGCTGATCAGTGCGTCTGCTTTCGTCAAGTATGAAATTGTCTCTAAAATACGCTAGGTTAAATAAGGGAGTTAGGATCTCAAGTAAGTGAACGTGTCACCACAACTATACCAAGAATCATTGCTGTCTGGCATCCAGTCTTGAGTAGGGCCATGCTATATTCAAGTCCGCTATATATGGTGCGGTGAAAAGTTGGCTCATTTGCCGTATCTCCGTATCTCCCCAGACTGTCTTCCCTTCCCCAACCCAGTCGACTGTCAGATCCTGTCGGTCAGATTGTGAAGGGATCGGATACGGTGACTAGACAGGCTAAACAAACTAGCAACCTATGCCTTACACATTCTGGGCCTGATTTTATGCATCAGGCTACACAAAAAACATGCGACCTCATTAAGTGGAAAGTGCATGTTATAGTATGCGAGGTTTCGCCCCAACCTCCACACTGGCAAAGTGGGCCACGTGCTTCAGAAGCAAGGCATGCTGTGGTTCGGAGAGGTATCGAGTATGCGCATGTTGTGCAGTAGGTTCCTATATAGCCTATAGATTCGTGTGCACTTAGTTCTAAGTATTGTGATGAGGTCTGACTGATGTTTTATTGAAAGTTGTTATGGAGGCACATATAGCCGAATAGGCTCCTGTGATGGCTGAATGTCCTGCGGGCAGTGTGGGTAGGTGAGGCATGTGTTACAAGTGTATTTCGGAGCTACAGATACTGGTTCGCCAGCGCATCTGTGATGGATCCGCAAGTGGCCGTCCGGAACGATGCGAGACTTGAAAGTGCTATCACAGTGAGAACAGACTGGAACTGTGTCCGAATTTCTGGCAATAAGGATGGTGATTGTTGGCAGGGTGGGAGGAGTGTCTAATCTGCTGGAGCAGTGCTGATGGTGCTTCGTGCGATAGGAAGAGGGTTGATTGTGTGAACATTGCACTGGGCCTGACGATGTCAGATGAGGCCGACCCCTGCATGAGATGTCCGTTGACAATGCAGACGCGCTGTTAGGGTTTCGGTGTTTATGCTGTTGGCTCGTGACACTTTGGTCTTGGAGTCCTTTTTTGGTTTAAAATCAACTATTCCGTTGTCTTTAAAGAGAGCTCTTGTAGGCCTTAAGGCAGTGTACTACGCCTGCCGACCTAGAGTAATATCCTCCCCTATTTCATGGTTGTTTTGCAAGTTCTAGAGTTGGGTTTTCGGAGTTTTATTGTGACAAGGCTTTGTACAGCCTTATCCAGGAGTACTAGTGGTTACATCGCCTTAGAATAGCCACTTTGGTAGGCGCTCGTCACTGATCAATTTTCCATCTTCCCCAAAATGACCTAGATAGCGGGAATGCCAGTTTTTGCAAAATCTCGTCTTCCATCCCTTCCTGCCACACCATCTTCAGTATTCTTCCTTGCAGGCAGTTTAGCTTTTGTGTCTCCGCCCTGTACAAGAGCGTTTTCAGGACAACAGCCTCTTAAATTCCCAGTTTTGTGTTAAAGAGGATGCCCGACGGTTCCATACGAGGTGATTTGGCGGGTCACTTTACTGACGACCAGAGCTGTCCTCCTTTCTAGTCGATCACCCAACCAGTCGTCTAGAGAGAATTACCATTCCCGGCAAACCAGTGTCGGCGGGGTCACTTTAACAGACTGGGGAGGTGCGTGGATAGGGACGAAGGATGGAGACTAGTTCATAGGCTATGGGCATGGAGATAAACACGTCGGACAACATCATCTGGTTTAGCCCACCAGTCATGGGTGGTTACCTGGGCACGAACGTCGTACAGAGTACGGCTTTGCAAAGCCACAGATGAGAATTGTCCGGAGTAAAGTAGAAGTAATGACTAGGTCCATTGATACTCTTGATGGGGTCCAGCAGTAGACTGCCTACGAATACTTGCTACAACCGTGGTCGTACCTGCTCTAACCGGCCGCGGTTTCGTCGCGTTTTTATGCCCTCGAAGTGTGTCTTCAATAGCTGCCTTCGTGCAATGGCCACTAAACCGTACCTAAGAATCGGCACTGGCTCCAACAACACAGCATTCCTTCTCTACGCACATGCAGACCTGTGAGACGGCGTACCACTTAACTGGACGGCCCCTACACCCTAGCGGCCACACCCACGTGTGTCTTTCGTTGTCCGCCTGTCACCACAGCCCCTCCACCCCGCCTTCAAGACTAAATATACGACACTGAACGCAGACGACCGGCGCGTTTCGCTGTGCTTCTATTTTGGTCCGCTTGTGAAACGGCTTTATTGTACGCACCAGGGGTGCAGCCTGGGTGTGCGAGGCCTGGATGTGCGGGACCTGGGTGTGCATTGTCAGGGTGTGCTTGAGAGGCTTTGAAACGGTGTCGGCAGCTGCTGGACCAGAGTTGAGGTAAACCGAAACCGGTCTGTCGGGGCATATTGGTGCCTTTGTACTCAAACATACTCTACGCGTGCCAAGAAAACTAGGCAGAGCTTTTGTTAATACTCCTCTGCAAACTACTTCAAATGTAAGCCTAGTACTGTCGCCATGGTGTGCACCGGTGGCTTCGTGAGTTATCGATGATCCAACGCCCATGTAAATAAAGATGCATTATGTTATTACCAACAAAGTCAGGGGGAACTGGAATGGTCATTTCTGGCTTATTAGCCGTCGTCAGCCAGTCATACCCAACTCCGAAGTGTGGAACACCCGAGGCTCGAACTCGCGACCTGTTAGTCAGAAGTCCACGCCTCTAACCACTGGGCCACGAGTCCGTTGCCCGGTCGGCTTCGATCGGGAATATACAATCGTAGGGGCCCAGTGGTTAGAGGCGTGGACTTCTAACTAACAGGTCGCGAGTTCGGGTCTCGGGTGTTCCACACTTCGGGGCTGGGTATGACTGGCTGACGTCGGCTAATAAGCCAAAAGTGGCCATTCCAATCTCCCTTGTCTTTGTCGGTAACAACGTACTGCCTATATCATGCGCCGCTGTGCAGCTGCCGGGTGGGCTGTATAGAGAGCCCCTAAGGCACAACGGAACGAGTGAGTTTCGTAAGAACGATCGGTGAGCGCCCCCTACCATAAAGATGCGCGTTTTTTCACTTTGCACTGACATAACCTTGTCCCTGATTATCTTCCTTAGGCTCTTGGCTGCTATCGCATACTTGGTGGTACACGAAAACATCGGTTGTCAAGCACTCAGCAAGGAACCTGTCAGGTAGTACGTCCTTGAGCGGTCATATATCAGTTTCTAAGTAGTGCATTTGAATTAAACCGCACCAGACCTACCCTCACGAACGAGGATCTCCACCATGTGCTGCAGAACAGGATGGGCGAAGGACGGCGGCTTACGTGTGAATTAGGTTACAGCGATTGCGGGCTTTCGCAACATCTACTGCACTCCCTCCCCCTTCACGCACCTGGGTCAGGGGGTAAGAGTGAGTCAAGGCAACCGGTGGCGGGATCGTGCACAATGGCTGAAAATCAAAGCAGACCGTCTGTGAGTGCTACAAACGACCTTTTTAGCGCATGATCGACCACGCCATTTCAGATGCAAAGCGAGATGTGACTCGAATCCCATCTGAGCGGGAGTGACATAGAGGAGGAGGGGCCACGGCAGCCTGACTCTTCTTCCTGAGAGGGTCGAATTATCCAGTCGGTTTACAGACTTCCAAGCCACGGATTTTAGAACTCCTTGGTAGTCAATATGTGCCGCAGATTACTAACTATTAGGAATATTGGCTGAGGGCTGTGGAGATGAAGTCCCCAGAGTCGACTTCACTCTCTCCTTCGTCTTCCAGACAGCAGCGCATTATCCCAGCCGGTCAGTCACCTGGTTTGGGAATCAGTCGCAGGTGGTTAGCGCGACTTGCGCCTGCACCCGGGCGTGACATCACATATGTGCTCCGCATGTGCATGGGTTGAACCATGATTACGAGAAAAGTCAGGTAAAGTAGAAAACTAACACTATCACAGGCCTCTTTTCAAAAATTGCTATGGAAAAAACAGGTAGGACAGGAGTGGCCGCTTCTGCATTATTTTACGTAGACAGCCTGACACGAGTCCGTCTCCTTATTGAGCCTAAGGCTTTAGCAGCTGGACCATGGGCTCATTCTCACATGGCAGGGATCTTTGCAATTTGACTCGATTGCAGGACCTTAAACCATGATAGGCCCTAGTTTTTGATCTAGGGTTTAGGGTCTATGCAACGGGTCGCACGACGAAGATGCAGGGCTGTGTGCGATCCTGCAGTAAGACCCCATCGGTGAGTGACATGTCAATGAGATCAAAACATGATACCGGTGCACTTACGCCTGTGTGTGCGTGTTTGTGGAGTGTAGGCGGCGCCTTCCCCCGTCTCCGGTCTTCTTGACTCTGTCTTGACACCGGATTTAGGGGGGGAGGGGGAGAGAGTGTGATAGATGCAGCGCAAGTCTGCTCTCACTTTAAATCCCGCGCAAGCCATTTTCCCTGCCCCACCCTGCTATGAAGCACACGGTGGACATCGTCGAAATCGACGGTCGAATTAACGGAGTGTAGGCGGCTGCATTTCCAGTCACGTGTATTCACAACTGCCGTCCATGAACTCCTCATCGTCGACGCCTGCGTCCTCAATGCCACCTCCTAAGAAGGCATGCAAAGGAGCATCGACCTCTTCGCCGTCGCCTATGACATTTTCGGCCTGGTCACCAGCACTGAGGAAACGGTGGTCATGCACCAGTCGCCATCCGACGCTGCCTACGTCGCACCCCAAATCAACGTGAACGGCGCCCAAGTAAAAGTCGTGGACAACTTCACCTACCTGGGCAGCACCCTCTCCCGTACCACCAAGATCGACGATGAAGTGGCTCGCCGGCTCTCCAAAGCCAGCCAAGTCTTCGGTCGTCTGCAGGACGTCGTCTGTAATTGCCACGGTCTCCATCTTAACACCAAACTGGAGATTTACAAGGCAGTCATCCTGTCGACGCTGCTGTATGGAGCGCAGACCTGGACAGTCCACAAGAAACCGGCGCGGAGACTCAGTCATTGCCATTCCTGCTGTCTTCGAAGGATACCAAAGATGAGGTGGCAGGACCAGATCCCAGACTCGGATGTACTGGAGCGGACGGGAATTCTCAGCATCTACGCCATGCTAAGACAACTGCAATTGCACTGGAGCGGCCATCTCGTGCAGATAGACGACGAGCAGCTACCCAAACGACTCTTCTGTGGAGACGTCGCCATGGGCTCCAGCCGACAAGGTGGCCGATTCCACCACTACAAGGATACTCTGAAGGCCTCCCTGAAGCGTCTGCAGATTGACGTAGCCGACTGGAAAGACCTTGCTCGAGACCGATCAACCTGGGGGAGGACGGTGAAAACAGGCGCAGCGATCTACGAAGCCAACCTCATCACCGCCGCCAAAGCCAAACGCGGGACTCGCAAATCTCAACTGCGCCCACCTCGCAATGCTATCGCTCAACCAGCCCCGACCTGCCCACGCTGCCAGCGGACGTTTCGGGCACCAGTCGGCCTTATAGGACGTCTTCTTACCAACTGCAGCATCCGGACTCACCAGCTGCTGTTTCCTCGTTCAACTCTACCTCACCCTCCACGCTGAAGACTAACACTGACCGCACTCCCGAACCCCACTACCGTCCTCCTCCTCCTCCTCCTCCTCTTCCAGTGCCTCGACATCCACTACGCCGGATCTTGTACTCACCACCACTGCACACAATCCTGGCACACCAACAAACATCAACCCCCCCCCCTCCCCCCCACCAACAACCTCAGCGATGTGGACTCGGTCCGTGCCTGTTCTTAGTGCGACTGCAACTTCACCTCAACTATCGGTCTGGCCGCTCACTTGCGAATCCATCGCACAGAGACCAACGAACCAGTGCCTAGAGCACCAACCTACACTCGCCGCATTCGCCTCCACTGTCCGCACTGTCCCCGCAAATTCACCCACCGCATGGGTCTATTCAGTGACATGCGTATCCGCGAGGGCGGAATTGACCTCAGTCTCGACACACCTATCACCTCCTGCACATCCACATCCGCCATCCAGCACACCCAGCACCGTCGGCTCCACCACACTCAGCACATCTTGTATACTTACCATGCTTAGCTCAACTCACACCCCGTCACCCAGCGCGTCCACCGTCAACAGCTCCACCACTGCCATCATCTCCGAAACCAACACTGACACCGCCCACTTTGCCTATCCACACTGTCCCCGCTGATTTCGCTTTCAGCCCGTCGCGATGCGCCTTTAACAGGGTGGCGCCTCAGCGAAGTCCTATGCAACAGCACATTCAAGATTGCAAAAACTCCCCTACTTTACGCCACACAGCAAGTGCTGGTTCACAAAGCCTGAATGTTAATGGGATGAAATCAGACAACTTTGGTAGTTCGAGTCTGCAAGTTCGCCGTTAGAGCACGGAGTGTCTTCTTCACTTTGAATGCTTCTGCCGAATTTCAGAGCAAACTGGGCGAGGTTTCGTGCAGTTTGAACGTCTGGCTCTGGTCGTTGGGACAAAAACCTGCTTTTGAAAACGAATATGCCATTGGGATCCTCGTATATCTAAACATATATAAGGAAATTCAAGATTCCTCTCACGACAGACGGGCCGTGACAGGAATTTTTGCCTCAATAAGACTGGCTGTTTCAGACTTTACGTTTACATACGTACAGAAACGCAGTCCTAGCACCCAGAGCGACAACTTGCTAAAAACGATCCTCGCACTGTATCTTACCCAACAAACTCAACAGATGTATCAGTTGTCTGGAATTCATACAGTGCGCACTCATTTTTCAGATGACATTTGGGCAGTTATACTATGCAAAGGGAGTTATGTGCATTTCTATCAAGTGTGCCCTTTTCGTTTACAATGTTGCCTTGGGAAACATTCCAGTGCATTTGCTCTACACAGAGGCGCCTGTCTAACTTGCGAAGACAGCCCGGCCTTACAAACAAGGTGTAGTGTCACCATTCATAAAAACCGTTATTTATCTTATTTTGCGACAGGTTCCAACTGAAGTCGCAATATACTGGAGGCAGAACATTCATGTACGTCAGTATGACTCAACCACCTGTTACATGGCTGCTACTGAATGGCCAGCTCAGGTTCTACAGTCAAATCATGCGGCACTCTTTTAAGGTCAGTTTCTCCTCGGTAACGGTGGAATCTACCATTCATGAATGGTAGACAGAGAAAGCTGAAGCCAAAAGGGTAGAGCAGAGGTTGCACGCTGGGGGCTCCATCGATACGGTCAATACATATGGAAATTCACTAACTCGCGGCCTTTCACCCTGGCCTTTTTTCAGATCTCTGAAAGCGAACTCAACAGCCCTTTCACCTATTTAAAGCACCGCCTGCACAACTCTTCCCTTTGAGAGTGTTTTTTCCACTTCTGTCAGTTTCGGGTCTCAATCAATACCCGTCGGTTTTTACTCAGACAACCAGCTGACAGCGCAATAATGAGACTGGGTCGCCAGACAACGCCCCATCAGGAGCACTACAGCGGCAGAAGCAGTGCAGGCAATAAGCGAAATCAAACCGCCCACGTGCCTTCGGGATTTTGCCAGTTGGCTCTGTTCAAACCTCAGCTCCACCCAGTTGTCACCTCTAACACCGCGAATGAGCGCACGTACACGTACATGGCGGCAGCAGTAGAGGACCTTTTGTGACGACAACAGGAGCGAGAGAGAGCGGGGGACTGTTTAACGGGCACATGCACACACACGCACACTGACGATGGTACACACCCTTCGCCTGAAACCCCGCCTGAGATAATGACGCCAAACCATACGGTGTGCCGTTCGTGCGCACGTATGGCGTGCAAGTACTCGGCATATAAAAGGAGCAGACGGGGGTCTGCCTAGGTAACCCGGTCCCCTTCTCGGAATCGCAATCGTACCGGCCTAACATCATGCTCGCCAAGCAGGCCTTGATGATCTGCCAAAAGGCTCTCCCCAAAACCACCCAACTGGGCATGGTCAGCGCGGTCAACAACCGTAAGGCCTTCTCCACATCCCGTCAGGCCCTCTCCGACTCCCCACGAGTACTCATCACTGGAGGGCTGGGACAACTGGGAATGCCCCTAGCTCGTGCTATTCGGTAAGTCCACCATCCCCGGATGTCTTATTTTCCCAACAGCTCAGCTATTGACAGTTAGCTGACAGAAAGCACAAATAATCTTCTCCTCTGATGCGTATTGTGTTCTGGCAGTTTTGGATATTAGGCTCGTACTGCGAAATGAGTGGCCGTAATTTCGGATAGCAGCTGCCGTGGAAGGCATTAAAGTCGCACAGAAAAAAATATGTGTACTCGGTTCGCGGCTCACCTTTTTATATTATTTGAGGACTTGAGATTCTCCTTTTAAATATTACTGATTAACCTTATCCACGCAAACCAGTATTTGCGATCCGTTTTTGGTTACTTTTGAATCTAAATGGGTCAGCACAAAAAATTACAATCAAAGCAAACTCTGTGAGGAGCCCAAGACACAGCTCCCATTGTCTATGTCTCAGAGAATGGCATACCGTTTCTTTTACTTTCGCAACTCTATACTTTGGTCGGCTTCGACTGGGATCCCGTGCGGTATTTGGGAGAGGGGCCAAACACCAGACTTTAGAAATTGCGACCTCAAAATGCCTTGCATCATCAATTAATGACTTTGGAAACAGCACATTCATCAGTTGTATTTCAAATGGCGGCCTTGTTCATCACGAAAGCTGTTATTAATTCTGAAGTAGCACTTCCATTTTTGAATGTTTCTACCATTTTCACGCAGTCGCCAAAGAAATTTGGCGTGTTCTGTGCAGCAAGTTATAACTGTCTAAAATATTACTAAACAGAACTTTATTCACCATCGGGTATCCCTTAGTTTGTCTTTAAGTTTATCCAGTAATTCCTTCGCATCCAACTTCTCCTCGGCATGTGCGTCGTATGCCTTGAACTTTTATGTATCAATAGTCGAGGAAAGAGCATTATTTGTGCATAGAGATTTGTATAAATATAAATGACAACAGGACTTCAGTACGGGAGAGATTGCCTAGTACAAATGTGCAGTTAACAAAAAAATATACTAAAACAATCCTACCGGCGCCTGTACTTACGAATAATCGAAGCCCTTGAATAAAAAAATAGAGACATCCGAGTAGAAACACTAACAGGTGGTTTTGGCTCTGATGATGGAATCGGGTGTGAATCTGAGACATCAAACGAGTAAAGTACTTGTTTCTGGGGTTATGTCCCCACCTTCGCGGGTAATAATGAAACTGTTTTAAGATCCTCATTTTCAAGTGTCACGAGTGTTTGTATCGCCACTCGTTAACTTGAAACCGAGAATGCTGGCCTGAATAGGGTTTTCGCTACAGCCAGCTGTGAGGGTAGGGTATGCGACCCCCTCCCCTGGGTGACTGATTGGAAATCAGTTTTTTATCTTATTTAAGTAGGTGTAGTTTATGACCATCCGCCTAGGAATAGGCCATTGGAGGAATTGTGTGAGTCGCAGAGGTTGACCTTCGGCAGCATTGTTGACGTTAAGGTTTCCCGTATCGGGTTCAAGGTTAAGGCTAGTGTTAGGAGTTGGATTATTCTGAGGACTGGGATTGCAGGCCTGGGCTGCGCTTTAGATTTGGGCTGAGGTTAGGGTTTTTAATTTAAGGTTAGGCTTGGAATTAGGGATTTTTGACTAGGGTTTTAAGGTTTGAGTTAAGGCTACAATAGCGTTCGAGTTTTACTTAAAGGCTTAGGGATCAAGGGTTAAGGTTACCCATTCCAGGCGTGGCCGCAGTTGGCGTTTAAATTGTAGTTAAATACAGTTTTCATAGGGGGTTACATACCAAGTCCTTGCCCAGTTTTCTGTTAGACATTTGTCACCTCCCCTAGTACTTCCCAGACAGAAATGATTGACTGCAATCTAGCGTTAATGCAGACATTGACTGACATCTATTTGAGCCGACTCAAGCCATTTGGGAGTACAGGTCAACCAGAAACGAGTAGTATTCGTGAATGTTTGCTGATTGCCAGCGTGTGCAAGCACCATTCTCCATTTCGATTCGACAACGGCAGCCATGTTTGCTATTACCGAAGTTATGTGCGCCCTAAATGTCTGTTTCTGATGCACTGTGATGCTCGTATTAATTGAATGTATTCCTAAATCCGAGCGTTCTTTTAATTCCCTCTTTTCAGCGCCAAGTTCGGAAAGGATTCTGTTCTTATGACTGATATTAAGAAACCTGACCCGAGCGTGAAGGATCTCGGTAAGTGTCTGTCACTGCCGTCGCTGTAGAACCACCACTTTTCTCAAGCTTATCCTGAGCTAGGTCCCGCGCTACCTGCAACTTATTCCTTTACTAACCTTTCAGGTGCATTCGAATTCGCTGACATTCTGGACACAAATGCCCTTCGCGAGTTGATTGTGGAGCACAAAATTGACTGGCTCTTCCATTTCTCTGCCCTCTTGAGTGCCATCGGAGAACAGAACACTCCTCTGGCCACAAAAGTCAACATTGAGGGTGTTCACAACATCCTAAGTGTTGCCAGAGAGTATAACCTCCGACTTTTCATCCCCAGCACTATCGGTAAATCAGATTTTCTGCTCTTACCCATCTTGTTTTAATTCCATAATAGAAAAAGTGCATATCAATATATGCCCTCGCAAATACACAAATACCCGTATTTACAGGATACACTGGCGTAGCTCAGTTTAATGTTTTTGGCAACTCGGTGGAAGACGAAACTCCAACCCTGTATTCTTATACTTACAACGTTAATAACAGGTGTGCAAAACTGAGACTTTTGATATTGCCCATGTTTTTTTAAATCCCATAATAGAAAAAAGTGTTTAAGTACGTGCAAGCATAGAAGTAAATAGCCATATTTGGAGGAGACAGTGGGGTAGCTCAAGTACACTTTTTGGGCAACCCGAAGAAGGGTTAAATCTCAGTTTAAGACTCCTTATATTTAATAGGCATGCCAAATTGAGGCCTTTTATGTCCAGACATGAAAACTTTAAACAATTGATTGCCGTTTTAAACTCTACTTTGAAGGTTTTTTGTTACTTGTCATGGTAAACATCTTCTTGACATTGGTTGAATAGGTGCCTTCGGCCCCAACTCGCCCCGCAACCCCACACCCGATGACTGCATCCAACAACCAAACACCATTTACGGTGTATCGAAAGTGCATGCAGAGCTCTTCGGTATGTACCTCAATCACCGCTACGGCCTCGACTTCCGATCGCTGCGTCTGCCAGGTGTCATATCCGCCGATGTCGAGCCCGGGGGTGGCACCACCGGTGAGTACTTACGCTCTTTCGCAATCTTTTTACACAAAAAATACGACTTATTGAACATTCTGTTGATGCACACCCTCAAACCAGTGCCATACATAACATGAATACATACCGGAACTTTACGCACAAAAGCTAGTCATCTCGTGGCCATAGGAAGAATTAATAAGGAGAAGTGACCCCCTATGCGGCCAAGGGCTTGTGCATTGCAAAATTTTATTCAAAATTCACTTGACTCCCCGTGGGTCCCTCATATGTTCTTCCATAAGGCTATTACACCAACCTCGTGTAAACAAACTAAGTACTCGACCTTCGCTCTTTCACGCTCTAAACTTGACTTTGTTAATTACCCCGGAAAGCAGGGGTATCCGTGTGAAGCTATTTCGCAGAGAAAGATTTATTTACTGGATAGTACTGACCGACCTGTTTCATCTTCGAACCCCTCCAGACTACGCCATTCACATCTTCAAGTACGCTATGCGTGGCGAGCCGTACCCATGTTTCCTCAGCGCCAACACCCGTCTTCCCATGATCTGGATCGACGATGTGATCCGTGGCATGGTTGAGGTCATGAGCTGCCCGCGTGAGAAACTCACACGTTGTGTCTACAACCTGGCTGCTGTTAGTTTCACTCCCAAGGAGCTCTATGAGGCCGTCGTCCGCGGCATGAAGCGTCATGGGCTCAACAAGCAGCTCAAAACCTTTGACATCAGTTACCAGAGCGACTTCCGTCAGAAGATCGGTAAGTAATTGTGTGATTGGTGTTTGCAATTGCTTCCGTCTTCCGCTGGCAAACTTTGCCAACTGAAGCCAACTTTATATCCTTATTGGTAATGATTTACAACGCGTCCTCTGACTACGTCCCCAGGTCCTTGAATAGAACGAAGCTCTCATTATTATTGCTTCGTCCAGCAATAGTTAAGCTTACGTATTTTCAATTGCGTCTGATCACGGTTGGAAGATATTTTTGCCGAATATTTCGTTTTCTCCAAGATAAGCACGTGGCGTCCCTATTGCATGGGTCAGCACATATGTATGCGATAATAAATTTTAACTTTTTTCGTTGTTCCTTTGGGTTGCAGCCGATAGTTGGCCGGAAGTCCTGGATGATGCCAATGCCCGCAGGGATTGGAACTGGGCCCATAAAATTGACACCGATGGCATGGTTGACAAGATGTTCGAATACCTGAAGACACACTAACTGGTATGTGGCGCCGGTTTTTTGCTCTCCTTTTGAAATGTGCGTGACTTAGTTTATAGTGTTAACATACGTACGAAGCATCTACCGCATTCTCTCCTCCTTTCCCAATTGAGCCCGGTGTCAAGAAATAGTCAAGGAGACAGGAGGCTAGAGAGGGCGCAGCTGGCTTGCACGGCGTAAAACCGCACCTAGACGTACCAGCACACCCCCTGGTTCACAACAGACAAACTAGGATTGATCCCCGGCAAAAGTAGGGGATGGAACAGGTCCCAACAGGTGAAGCGTGAGCCAACAACTGGATCTGCTACCACACCCAATGTCGACATTTTTTGTGGGTGCATATTCCCGATAACGCCTGAGGGACTCCGATCTAGCCCCCCTGTGTTGACCCAGCGCGTCTACCGCACGGCCCGTTTTAGGTACACAAACGCCACGCACACACGCGATAGGCATCTTTGTCATTTTCACATGCATACTGGCTTTTCTGTCTCAGTGTGGACTTTTCGCTGTAGTCACATTAAGTAAGCATTCGCACGTACGGGTGTTGAGCCGTATTAGCAAGGCCATTTCATCTAGAGCATATTGCCGCCCTCAACATACACATCACAGTCCTGTATAACTGCCGTGGACGAGGGAACATGCAACGCACACAGTATATGGCCTCTTCTGCTTATGTAGATTAATTTAAAATGCTTCGCTGGGGTGTCTGTTTATTTGTCCAGAAAAGCTTCCTCTATATTCCTCCGTGTGTGTGGCCTCCCTCTACATCAATATCTAATGAACAGCCCGGAAATGCATTGCTTTTGGAAAATTTCCACAACCGTTATCGACAAACCCTTGGGATTTTTAAAAAGACTTCTTCTTGTTGTTCTTCTTTCCCTAGAATCACTGCGTTGCCAACCTTCCATTTTCACGATGGCGCCAAAAACCTCACAGCTCTCTCTCCTGGATATTCTCTGCAGATCATCTAGGTCTATCTGCGTGTACATGCAAAATGTATGAAAGTCTACAAAATATAGTCTTATACCTATCTCCTCTTGCCTTCACTTAATATAACTGATAATCAGATAGATTTAATGCAGAGTGGTCATAGCAGAAAAAGCTAAATATTGGGACGGAAGTGCGCCACCTGGAAGCTGCTTTACTTTTAACTCTCTTGACCTGGGAACTTTTATATATGGCTGCAGTTTGAGCCATCGTAGATCGGGAGACGGTGGAGTTAGATGTGCTTCTACAGCATTAAGATTGCATTTTCAGAGTAACTAACCAAGCTCGATGTCTGAAGGCCCAGTAGCGTGAAACAGTTCAGTTGCATTGTCTATTTCCAGAGGGGCGAGAGCAAAAAACAAATTTTTGCTCGCTGTAGCAAAAATATGTGATGCATCTCCGCTTATTAGGCTTAGACCGACCGTTGTATCACTGTCCTTGTGTGTTTCTATTCGAAAGTTTATAAGAAAACTGCATTGCATGTCTTGTGTATTTCCAGAGGGGCGAGAACAAAAAACAAATGTTTTGGACGACCGCTCTCTGTGGCAAAAACATGTGATGGATCTCCGCTCATTAGGCCTAGACATATCGTTGTATCACTGCCCTTGTGTGTTTCCATTTGAAAGTTGATAATAAAACTAAGAGATTGAGAAAACCGCATGTAAGCTGTTTGGTTATCAATCAGTAGCTATGTTTATAACCGATGTCAACAAGTATGAAGAAATTCCAGTAAATAACAAAGATCGCGGATTCAGAGCTCGGGTGTGGCAAACTAGGGCCTGGGTAAGGCCGACCGGCAACGATTAATAAATCAGGAATGGCCATTCCAATTCCATTGGTCTTGGATGGCACTCTGCTTCCGCACCCTAAACCAACATGCTGCCATTTTGAAAGTGACCTTGGATTATGTTCCACGTTGGTCACTTTTTGCATCTCACCTAAGCAGTCTTTTCCATTTCAAAGCATATTGTACAGTATGGTTCATAGTTTGCGAGTTTTGGCGCATATTTTTGTTTCCTCTTTGATGACGATGTTCCCAAACAGGTTACCGTCAACCAAATCGAAGTGCGTGTACTCCAGTGCAGAATATGGGTACTCACGCGATGCACTTAGCATGGCGGCGAGGTTGGAAAGCCCTTTGTTCTGATTGAGAGCATAACAGCAAGGGAAATCAGAAGGGATTCTGGAGCACCTATGGCACAGGTATATTATGACCGAACGTATGGTAGATTCTCATCAAGAAAGTATGCTCACGTTGTCAAAAATTGTGACAGAATATCGTAGTTTATTATCGTTTAATCAACAGGCCACGTCGGGGATAAGAACGAGAGTCAGATTTGGACGTGACACGTGTTTCTCGAGCTGTGCTAAGTTCTCACGGGGACTTAACTAGCACCGCAAACGTACACTTCCGCGTCACCCCGGCGACTGCCCGCAATCTCATCACCAGTTAATTAAAGTACTCCGACAGTCAACGGATTGAAAGGAGAGGGATGAGAGAGTGGGGCCGATATTGAGGAACAGTACATTCTCAAGGCAAGTAAGCATATGCCTCATTACGGTGAACTCGATTTACTTGGACCTATCAGAATGCGCTGAAAGTTGTGACTTGGAAGGCTGCCAACTAACTTGCAAGCACGGTCTTTCTACGGACACCGAGTTGGGATGTACCGGCTAATTCTTAATGTGGTTCTCGTGGCCTCATCATAACTGCGAAATTCGAAAACTCCATGAATGTAGCCTAAAACATTAAATCGGGAAAAAGTTGTTTGTAACACGCGTAAACGAAGTGTTTATTCCGGTCAGTCACTCAGCACATGCAGATATTCGGTCGTCTTGGCATTGCCTTAACACCGCAGCATGGCAGATGGCATGGAGACGGTAGTGAGGTAGGTGCAGCGCACATCGGCTTTACTGTAAACAAATTCTCATGCAAATCACCCCTGCGCTTATCGTATGGGGCGGCTTCGAAAGTCATTGTATGCATCCATCAAAGAGTGTGTGTGTGTGTGTGTGCGTGCGTGTGTGTTTGCATACTGGTCACGCAGTCCTGGAAGGATGCGGGGCGGTAAACAGGTGGCAGTAACACTTCTTTGTGTGTATTTGTATTAGGTGGGGTGTAGGGGTGTCTGCGGTGGGTTCACGTAATGGTCGTGGTGGTCGCTCACTTGCTTGCAGGTGAGACTGCGCCTAGCGTCCACTTGCTGGCACTGAACTCTCACCTGTGGCTCCACGTAGCTGGGCTCTGCTCAGCGGCCACACCCCGGGCAACCGTCTCGACCGCCAGGCTAAACCAGGTGAGGGGGCCTGTGCGCTGTACCGTGTGCACAGGGTTTGCGGATTCCGCTGGATTGAAGGTCGGATGGAACCTTGCGTCGGCACCGTCGTGACGTGGTTCGTCTCTGCACGCCGCTGGACAGCCGGTGACGGGATGGATCTCCACATCGACATCGCCTTGACGCGCCCACCTACACCGTCGGAGACCGCGGCTTACGGCGAATTCGAGTCGCTCTCCACTACAACCCGAAGTCGTGGTCCCATAGTGGAGTTCGGCCATGCAGGTGTCGGCAACACCATCTTCTGGAGTGGTCGCCCCAGGCCAGAGCGACGAGACGCGGGCGTCGCCTTCGCCATCCGGAACGACATCGTGGGACGACTGTCCAGTCTGCCGCAAGGCATCAACGATCGCCTGATGAGCCTCCGTCTGCCCCTCCGGGGTGGGGGCAAATTCGCCACCATCATCAGCGCCTACGCTCCGCCGATGACCAGCCCCGACGCCGTCGGAAACAAATTCCACGAGGACCTGCACGCCCTCTTGGCGACTGTGTCTAAGACGGACAAGTTGATTGTCCTTGATGACTTCAACGTCCGCGTCGGCACAGACCATACTGCCTGGAGAGGAGTGCTGGGCCCCCACGGTCTCCGCGGCTCAAACGGCAATGTTCTGCTGCTTCTCCGCACCTGCGCAGAACACCGCCTCATCCTGACGAACATCTTCTTCTGTCTGCCGGAGCGAGAGAAGGCCACCTGGAGGCATCCTCGGTCGCGCCAGTGGCACCTGCTGGACTATGTCCTCGTCCGGAGGCGAGATCAGCGGGACGTGCTGGTGACGAAGGCGATCGCGGGTGCTGACGGGTGGACCGACCATCGCCTCGTCATCTCGAAGATGCGTATTCGCCTACAGCCTCGCAGGAGACCACAAGGTAAGCGATCCCCAGGTAAGCTGAATGTTACCTTGTTGTCTTTGCCCGCTCACCATCTTAATTTCAGCAGTGAGCTAGCTCAACGGCTAGACAACCTTCCTATCGCTGCCGCCGACGACGCCGCTGCTGCTGAGAACGCCTACGAGGAGAACCGCTGGTGTCAACTTCGAGACACGGTCCAGTCGACGACGCTCGTCGTCCTCGTTTGCGCTCCCCGCAAACATCAGGACTGGTTCGACGACAACGACGCCGACATCAGAAATCTGCTTGCTGAGAAGAACCGCCTACACAAAGCCTACGTAGATCACCCCACTGATGCCACCAAAGCTGCCTTCTACCGCAGTCGCCGCCAGCTTCAGCAACGACTTCGCGAGATGCAGGACGCCTGGACTGCTCGCAAAGCTGAGGAGATCCAAGGCTACGCGGACCGCAACGAATGGAAGAACTTCTTCTCCGCTATCAAAGCTGTCTACGGTCCGGCGACAAAGGGCACTGCTCCTCTCCTCAGCGCCGACGGCAACACTCTCCTGACTGAGAAGACGCAAATCCTGCAGCGATGGGCCGAGCATTTCCGAGGCGTCCTCAACCGCCCCTCAATCATCTCCGACGCCGCCATCGAGCGTTTGCCGCAAGTGGAGACCAACGTGGACCTCGACCTCCCGCCATCTCTCCAGGAGACCATCAGGGCCGTGCAGCAGCTCTCCAGCGGGAAAGCACCCGGATCGGACGCCATCCCTGCTGAGGTCTACAAGCACGGAGGTCCCTCACTGATGGATCACCTGACTGCGCTCTTCCAGGAGATGTGGCGTCAAGGTGAAGTCCCGCAAGATTTCAAAGAAGCAACCATCGTGTATCTCTACAAGCGCAAAGGGAATCGCCAAGTCTGCAACAATCATTGCGGCATCTCCCTGCTGAACAGCGCCGGGAAGATCTTCGCCCGCATCCTCCTCAACCGTCTCAATAACCATCTGGAACAGGGCCTTCTGCCGGAAAGCTAATGCGGCTTCCGTCGTCATCGTGGGACCACGGATATGATCTTCGCCGCCCGTCAACTTCAGGAGAAGTGTCAGGAGATGCGGACCCACCTGTACTCTACCTTCGTGGACCTGACGAAAGCCTTCGACACGGTGAATCGTGAAGGACTGTGGAAGGTCATGCAGAAATTCGGCTGTCCGGAGCGATTCACTCAGATGGGGCGTCAGCTGCACGACGGTATGATGGCGCGAGTCACGGACAACGGAGCTGTCTCAGAGGCATTCGCAGTGACCAACGGAGTGAAGCAGGGATACGTGCTGGCGCCTACCGTCTTCAGTCTTATGTTCTCTGCCATGCTGATGGACGCCTACCGCGACGAACGCCCCAGGATCCGCATCGTCTACAGAACGGACGGTCATCTGCTGAATCAACGGCGCATGAACTTCCAATCGCGCGTATCCACAACCACAGTGCACGGACTCCTATTCGCCGACGACTGCACCCTGAACACCACCTCGGAAGAGGAGATGCAACGGAGCATTGACCTGTTCTCCGCCACCTGCGAGAACTTTGGGCTGGTCATCAACACGCAGAAGACGGTGATGCACCAACCGCCACCCAACTCAGCCACAGCCCCCAACGCGCCGCCGCAAATCAGCGTGAACGGAACCCAACTGCAAGTGGTGGAGAACTTCCCGTACCTGGGCAGTACTCTCTCCTGCAACACCAAGATCGACGACGAAGTCGCCAACAGGATCTCGAAAGCCAGTCAAGCCTTCGATCGCCTCCAAAGCACAGTTTGGAATCGCCACGGTCTTCAGCTGAGCACGAAGCTGAAGATGTACGAGGCCGTCATCCTGCCGACGCTACTGTATGGAGCGGAGACTTGGACGGTGTACGCAAAGCAGGCACGTCGTCTGAACCACTTCCACCTCAGTTGTCTTCGTCGCATCCTGAGGCTGAACTGGCAGGATCGAATCCCCGACACTTATGTGCTGGAACGGACGGGAATCCTCAGCATCTACGCCATACTGAGGCAAATTCAGCTGCGCTGGAGCGGCCACCTGGTGCGCATGGACGACGAGCGACTACCCAAACGACTCTTCTACGGAGACGTCGCGACGGGTTCTCGTCGTCAAGGAGGCCAGATTCGCCGTTACAAGGATACCCTGAAGTCCTCCCTGAAACGCCTGCAAATCAACCCGACCAACTGGGAGCAGCTCGCACTCGATCGACCGACCTGGAGGAGGACAGTGAAGACAGGCGCTGCGATCTACGAAGTCAACCGCATCGCTGCCGCCAAAAAGAAACGTGAAGCTCGCAAATCACAACTTCGCCCAGTACGCAACGCCGCCGCACAACCGCTTCCAACGTGTCCTCGATTTCAATGGACATTCCGGGCTCGAATCGGACTTGTTGGACATCTTCGGATTAACTGCGCCTCTCAGACGGCACCAACCATCGTCCCCCCGCCCGCCTCTTCCTCCTCCTCTCCGCCGCCAACTAACTCTGACAATTCTTCTGACCCACGACTTCCATCATCCTCATCCTCCTCCTCCTCCTCCTCGCCCACTGCTCCAACGGCGGCCGCTCAGGCGACTGTCCCGCGCACAACAATCGACACTACCACAACCTCTCCCGACTCCAACGATGAGGATCAGGACTACACCTGCCCTCACTGCGACCGCACCGTCACCTCACACATCGGCCTGGTCGGTCACTTGCGAATCCGTCGCACAGAGACTGGCGAACTAGTGCGTGAAGTACCAACCTACACCCCCCGCACTTGCCTCCATTGCCCACACTGCCATCGCACCTACAGGCATCGCATGGGCCTTCTCGACCACATGCGCATCCACGAGAGCGGCCTTGACCGCAACTCCGACACACCCACGACACCCAGCACATCCACCGTGCACACCTACACCCTCGCTCCATCCGTCTGCGCCACCACCACCCCCACCATCTTCTCTGTAGCTGACACTGACACCGCCGACTTCTCATGCCCACACTGCCCACGCACATTCACCTCACGCATCGGCCTGGTCGGTCACTTGCGAATCCATCGCACAGAGACTGGCGAACCAGTGCCTGGAGCACCCACCTATACCCACCAAGCTCGTCTCAACTGCCCACACTGCCCACGCACCTTCAGGCATCGCATAGGCCTATTCGGCCACATGCGCATCCACGACGACCTGCGGTAGACAACCGCCGGCCAAACCACACATTCACTCACTCCCTACCACCACCACCATCGCCCCACCACACATCAACACTCCCACACCTAATGCACCCAACTGTCACCTCCCACGCAAATGGGAAGTGTGCATCTCGACTCGGTCCTCATGCGGCTTCGGCTGCAGGGGTCACTTGAGTTCGAGACTACCCCGACACATCAAGCGTCGTGGATAGGAAGGTTGCTGATTGACGCCCGCTCTCGGTTCATGCAGTTCGTCGCTTTGTGTGTGTTTGTTGTGTGGATTGGCGGACTGGTGGGCTGGGGACGAGCTGAAACAGCACCTTCCACGGCACTCTCACGCAAATGAGAGACACGCCTTTCAACCCCCGTTGTGTGACATCCTGGTGTTGTGTGTATGGGGGGCCAGGTCGTGCCGTGGCGCGCGCAGTCATGGTAAGTCGACCATGACAGCCACCGCGCCCATTCCCCACTCCAGTCTGCTGACCGGCTCGGACAGCCGCTGGGGTGTGGGAGTGGGAAGGGAGAGTGAGGTCGACGACTCAGCGCACTTTCTCCTCACTATAAACAATCTGACGCGCTTGAAGCTATCACGGTGCGCTAAAAGCCGTGGCTTGGAAGGTTGCCAACTGACGGGGTAACTTGGACCTCCTCCTTGACTGGAGGCGGTCTGAGAGTCAGGCTGCAATGTCTCCTTTTTAATGTGGCCTTTATGGCACTCTCACCACAGTGTGGGATCCGAGCCAGGCGTTGGCGGCACGCCCAGGTGCGGCTTCGGCCGTGCCAGCCTCCAAATCTCTGTTGTGTTGGTTGAAATCCTGGTTATTGTTGTGTGGACCAGGGGGTGCGGTGGAACGCCAAGGTGAGGATCCGTCCGAGCCATCCACCTGCGGCCTCCCTCGTCTCCGGTCTTCTTGACTCTGTCTTGACACCGGGCTCGGGCGAGGGAGGAGGATAGAGTGTAGGTGGATGCTACGCAAGTCTACCGGCACTATAAACCCCTGCGTAAGTCACCGTCCCTGCTCCCATTGCTGCTGCAACTGTGGGGCACACGGTGGACATCATCGAAACCGATGGTCGAACTGTCATTTGTGTTAGGTTGCTGCTGTTGCCAGTCCCAGTGTGTGCATGTGTTAGCGTCTATGCGTGTACTACTGTGTGTGTGATTCGCCTGCGCCCTCCCCCGCCTCAGGTCTTGTTGACTCTGTCTTGATACCGGGTCCAGGCGGGGAGTTGGGAAGAGTGTGCGGTAAACATTGCGCAAGTCTACTATCACCATAAACTACTTCACGCGCAAGTCATCGTGCCTGCTGCAGCTAGCTGTGTGGCACACGGTGGCCATCGTCGGAATCGACGGTCGAACTGCCACGCGTATGTTTGCGTTTAGACGGGCCATGCGGCAAATGCGCTGGACCAACAGGGGGGGGGGCGGGGGGGCTAGGTCGGAGTCCGACAGACGTTAATGGAAATGCACACCGATAACATGTGCCAACATTTTGGGAGTAGTGGCGTGACCTGGTTCAGGCTCATGCTGCGTCAAATGCGATCTGGTTCGTCCTCCCTTTTTTCATGGTGTCTAAAATCCTAGTCAGGGTATTCCGTGGATCAGAGGGTGTGGTGGCACGCCTAGGTGTGGGGTTTCGCCGTGGCAGCCACCTGCAACCTCTCGCGCCTGTGATCATTTCGACTCCGTCTTGATATCGGATCTAGGTGGGGGAGGAGGAGGGAGCGCGGTTGATGCGGCGCAAATCTACAGAAACAACGACATTTCTCTCTCCTCTCCTTCTTCCGTCTTCTCCCCGCTGCCCGACTCGCCAGACTGGCAAGGTGAGTCCGCTCACTCTGGCATCCTAGAATGTTTGTTCCCTTTTAGACAATCCAAAGAGCAATCGACCGGGACGGAGGGCTCGAGGACTGGCGCGCAGCAAGGTGGACATCGCGGCACTCTGCGAACTCGATTCTCCGAACAAGGCCAACTGGAGGTGGGTGCCGGCTACACCTTCTTCTGGAGTGGTCGCTTAAAAGCAGAGCTACGAGACGCGGGCATCGCCTTCGTCATTCGGAACGACATCGTGGGACGACTGCCCTGTCTGCCGCAGGGCATCAACGATCGCCTGATGAGCCTCCGTCTGCCCCTTCGGGGAGGCGAATTCGCCACTATCATCGAAGCCTACGCTCTGCCTAAGACCAGCAGTGACGCCTCAAGGGACAAATTCTACGAGGACCTGCACGCACTCTTGGCGACTGTGTCGATGACGAATAAGTTGATTTTCCTTAGTGACTTCGACGACCGCGTCGGCATAGACCATGCTGCCTGGAGAGGAGTGCTGGGTCCCCATGGTCTAGACGTCTCCAAAGACAATGGCTTACTCCTTCTCCACACCTGCGCAGAAAACCGTCTCATCCTGACGAACACCTTCTGTCTGCCGGAGCGAGAGAATGCCACCTGGACGCATCCTCGATCGCGTCAGTGGCACACGTTGTACTATGTCCTCGTCCAGATGCGAGACCAGCGGGACGTGCTGGTGACAAAGTCGATTCCGGGTGCTGACGGGCGGACCGACCATCACCTCATCTCGAAGATGTGGATTCGCCTGCAGCCTCGCAGGAGACCACAAGGTAAACGACCCCCCAGGTAAGCAGAATATTGCCTTGTTGCCCTTGACTGTTCATTATCTCCATTTCAGCAACGAGCTAACTCAACGACTAGACACCTACCGGCCGCTGATACCGCTGCTACTGACAAGAACGCCTCCCTGGAGAACCGATGGTGTCATCTGCGGCACACAGTCCAGTGGACGGCGCTGGCCGTGCTCGGTCGCGCACGCCGTCAACACCAGGACTAATTCGACGACAACAAGGCCGCCATCAGCAACCTACTCGCCGCGAACAACCGCCTACACAAAGCCTACATCGGCGCCCCACCGACGACAGAATAGCCGCTTTTCACCGTAGTCGTCGCCTTGTATAACAGCGCCTGGGCAACTCGCGAGACCAAGAAGATCCAAGGATACGTAGACCACAAAGAATGGAAGAACTTCGTCGCCGCGATCAAAGATGTCTACGGTCTGCCAAATGAAGGTACTGCGCCTCTTAGCGTCGATGGCAGTACTCCACTCACTGAGAAGACACAAAATCTACAGCGAAGGGTCCAGCACCTCAGAGGCGTTCTCAACCGTCCCTCCACCATCTCCGACGCCGCCATCGCCCGCCTGCCGCAAGTGGAGACCAACATCGACCTCGACCTCCCGCCCTGCCTCCACGAAACAATCAGAGCCGTGCAGCAGCTCTCCGGTGGGAAAGCGCCCGGATCTGACGCCATCCCTGCTGAGGTCTGCAAGCACGGCGGCCCTCAACTCATGGATCATCTGACTGCGTTTTTCCAGTGGATGAGGCGTCAAGTAGATGTCCCACAGGATTTCAAATACGCCACGACCGTGCATCTATACAGGCGGAAAGGTAATTGCCAGCTCTGCGGCAACCCCCGAGGCACCTCCATGATGAACAATGAAGGGAAAATTATCGCTCGCATCATTCTCAACCGTCTGGATAGTCACCTGGAACAAGGTCTTCTGCTGGAAAGCCGGTATGGCTTCCGATGTCATCGTGGAACCAACGACATGATGTTCGCGGGAGACCAATTTCAGGAGAAGTCGATAGAAGCGAAGCAATCCCACGAAGCAGTCCTGAAGAAGGAGACACAATGGCTGGGACAAAAGCCTTATTAGCTTGACGTTTCGGATTCCTGCTCGAACTCATCATCAGAGACAACAGCAGATACGGGTGGCTCATGCATACGGGGCTGTAGTATTTATAGGATGCAGTCGCCATGCTACCGCATACCTATGAATGTTCAGGCTCCCCCCTTCATCAGGGATCGTTGCACTTGGTGTGATGGTCGGCATTCGCGTCGTTAATTGCTGCAATCTCATCACGTGCGTTGGATGTTGGTGTGATGACTGCTCGACCATCTGACACACCGACCCTTAAGTTGGGAAAAGTGTTCACATGTGCGCTCCCCGCGTGGCTAATCACTCCGCCTAGGCGAAGTCTCAGCACCGAGTATGGAAGGGGAAGATCATTGCACTTGATAATAGACTGGAGGCCAGTAAACCATGACTCAAGCAGAACCCGGCTCACGCGGTTGTCACCTCTTGCGAGAATTTCGGCCTCGTCAAATTTGAATGTATGGCCGGAACCCGTCGAATGAGCCGCAACTTGAGAGCTGGCGTCATTTCTCCGCACCGCTGCAGCGTGTTCGGCCATTCGCGTTCGGAGCTGTCCGCAACTACACCAGATCCGATAAACGACTCCAGACGTTTCTTGCCGTGGCAGCGGGTCTTTTGGTTTCATCAACTGACGCCTGATGGTTGCCTCCGGCCTCTGTGCAACTCCAACCCCACGTGGTGCGAGAAGGAGGCCAACAGCTTCCGAAACGTTCTTGACATATGGAAGCGCTCGCCAAAACCTGGGGTCAGTGCGGTTTGGCCTTTCGTCCCCTTTGCGTATGCACCGGTTAACGAAGTTGCTCGGGTAGCCATTGGATCTGAAGACCCGTCAGAGTTATCGTAGTTCGACAATTTCGTCTTCCGGCTCACTGCAGTGTGTATCGACATGCCGATAGGGCGTCCTCACACAACTGCATTTGTGGCTGATTGGGTGGTTCTGTTGAAGTTAAGTACTTGCATCGTATTCGTCGCTTTCGTGAACACTTTGGTCTTCAGTCCACCACAATCTTTGCGGCATACGAGGACATCCCGGAAGGCCAGCTGGTTGTTCTCCCCCTCCTCCATCGTAAACTGTATGTCCAGAGACCGAATTCAGATGTTCCTTGAATGTCAGCAGTTGATCCCGGTCGATAACGAAGAAGGTAATCAGCATTAGAACCGCGCCTAAGTAATCCTCCCTAATCGAAAACGCATTTCAGAATTTCAGCCAACATTTCTTTTCACTATCAAGGAGAACTGAGTTAGGCATATTATGAGAATTCTGCAGCATGTTCTTTCTGAGGATAGAAAGTGTTGTCAACGTAACAGCCTCGGACAAGAACTCACCCGATCGATGCCGTGACCTGGTGCCCGCATACAGCCCTTCGCAGTCACTCCCAAACCTGCGTCACTGACCGTTGATTAGTTAACACCGGCCTGTAACTGTCACTAGCTCGGTTTCTGCTGTCCTCTCCGACGACCACTCTTTTTCCCTACATACATCTTGCAAACCAACATTCGCCTCCATCAAGTCAACTATCTGGACAACCCCTGATGGACTCAGAAGCCCGCTTTTGGAACTCGGCCAAAGCGAGCGGGGAAGAATTGCAAAACAGTTGAAAAGTGCGATACCTGAAGACACTCCCATACTGGCAGTCCGATCGGACAGGGGTGAAGACACCAAGTCAGGTGTCGCTGGCACCTACCCAGTTGTTGTCATGATGCCTTGGCGCTTTCATCACTCCGATCGGCAAGGCTTGTGAATATGCGAGGCCTGTCACACAGGCGGCAACAAAACACAGGGAGGGCGGACTGCACGTGGCGCCATCATGAGCGCGTGTCTCCAGGACAATATGCACACCAGCACGGGCACACCTTGCCCTGGGCAACACGAGGAACACGCGTGCAGCATACATCTACAGCCTCCACTTAATGAGCACACTCGACTCGACCAGAATCAAAAGCCTTCTCATTATAGGATAATTTCGATGGGGCAAGTACAACGAGTGTAAAAAACTGGCGAAAAATGTCTCCGGTGTCTTTATGACCGTTGAGGCAGCACTGAAGAAGCGTAGCTAGCCTGGGAGGGACGACGCAGGGACGACCAACAATTTCAATGCCTACGAAGAAACAAAAAATCGGATTCCTCGGTCGGAGTCTCGTAGCTCAGGTACTTAGAGGGGTGACTGTGTACCAAGCCTTGTCCTTGCCGTCGTAACTTCAAACTTCACCGAGTTTTCATAACTAGGTCAGTCAACCAAAACAACGACGGGTCAAATATTTATGACTAGATGGTGATTCGAGCCACTGTGTATGAATAATAACAAAGAGACAATCGTGAACAGGGGGTGCAGTTTTCAAAATCGCTGCTGCATTAAGTCAGGCCGCGATCGGTCATTGTCTCTATCCCAATAATTACGGCCACTGGAAGGTGGGCATTGTTGGGAGAAGTTTGGAGGGGGAGGAGGACAGTTGGCATCGAAGGCACCCCCGTCACGCGGGGCTGGACGGCTTTGTCCATCGTAGGGATGGCCTGGCAGTGGTACACTACCAAAGCCTGTTGAAGATGTCTGGGGGGCTCCGGTTGTGTAAAAAGGAGGCATGCCCATGCGTTGTCCCACTTTGTCGGCCGCGGGATCTGCAGCAGAGAAAGGAAGCAATTAAAAAGTTGGTGAGGTTGGACGACTACCCGTCTCCGGAGCATGCAAGTCGATTGCGCCTTTACGTACCACAGCGGTCAAAGTCGCAATATAAAATCGCTGCGCAATTCTTACCGGCCAGGCATCGTTAAATAGAGAACGGGAAGAGAGGAAGACGGTTTGTTTAAACAACGACCCAAACCCTTCCCCATACCTGTCCCTTGGACTTGATGCACACTGAGCTCGCTTGCAGTGCGACTGATCACTATCTCGCGTGGCGTGGCGTGGACAAGAACAAGGTCCATTGAAACATCTTCTAATAAGTTCTGTGATGATACCTAAGCAAGCGTTTAAGAAGTCACGTTCGCCGAAAGCATGCTTTCGATTGTTCACCCCCAGACCCGGTGCAGTAACATAAGTTAGGGTGAAGACCTCAAGTTACCCTAGGCCAAGATGAGCCCAGCGTGTTCGTTCCCGCATCCTGCCGCGTCACGCTACAGCGATGAGACATAGTTTACCGTCAGACTCCTCCTCCCTCCCCAAGTTCCTGAGAGAGGCGACATGTCCAAACGTTTCAACGTTCGCAGTCTTACCCCAACTTATATTACCGTGAAGGCCTGAGGATGAATAATTGAAAAGGCACGTTCGCCGAACACGACCTCTTTGATCTTCCAACAAAATATACCAATTGTGGATTTTTCAATACCTTAGATTTCCAGAAACAATTTTACTGTAATCTGGAAGCTCACATGGCCAGAAAACAGGTGCTTCTGGGCTTAATTGAACCGCCGTCTTCTCAAAGTCGCGGCGAGTTATCCTGATCCCTGAACCACCGGAGAGGTGTTTGGTAGGTAGAGGACTTGTGAGAGGTAATTACTTTCCACTCTGACGACACAGTTCTGCCGGGACTGTTATGCCAAACCTTTTTCATGCAGAAAATAAGCTGTTAGTTTCCTATTCCGAACAGCCACCAAAATGGGGATGCCACCAAAACAGAGGTAACGCCTGTAAAGCAAACTTTGTGCCATTTTGTCCCCATTGTGGCTGGTTATTATAACCACACTTTGGCCTGATCGAGCAACCGCGAATCCATCTCGGCGTGACTGTCGAGTCAGCGCTCAGAGACCCACCCAAAACCTGTCATGCACGCATTCCCTGGGTCCACCACACAACACCAGCGCACTCGGACAACATAATGGTCCGCTCGGCCATGCGCGCATTCACTGACAACCATCACCAAAGAATCACCCTGTCCGCACAGGTTCAGTAGTCGTATGGACCTCTCTGGTCATGCGAGCGCACAGTAAAGCCATCTATCAGTGAAGTCCGCAGACGGTGACAATTACGAATGAGCTAACATGTGCGTATGTGTGTGAATTTGGCCCCCAAAACGGACTACGCTGCAGGTGTGGTGTACAAGAACGGAACCTGGACTGCCTCATGGCACGCCTTTAGCGGGCTTCGCCGAGCCTGCGCGAGAACTTAACCAGTACCGTACTTGCCTGTGGCACAACCTAGACGTAAACCTTCGCGTCTCATCAGCGACTGCTCGCAATCTCCCCACCTGTTAATTAGCATACTCGGACAGTCAACGGATGTCAGAGAGAGCGATGAGAGAGCGAGACCGATATTGAGGAACAGTACATCCTCAAGGCAAATAAGCAACGTGAGCTCTTGTGGCAAATAATGGAACTAGATGGTGTGTCGGCCAAAATCATAGCCATGGTCTAGGCCTACTACCGTCCCACCAGTCCGCGGATTCTCGTCCACAACAATCTCTCCCAATCGTTCGATATCCGATCTGGTGCTCGACAAGGCTGCCTCCCATCGCCCATTCTGCCCAACTACGTCATTGACTAGATTCTCGGAGGGGTCCTACAGGATTTTGACTGTGTGTAGTTAGCACCCGGACGCTGTCTGACTAATCCCGAGTACGCCGACGTTACCGCCTTGCTAACCCCGAAGTCGCTACTTTGGTCAGTTTATCCATGAAGGCGGGCAAATTGCTTGCGACCTGCATCTTTGATCAGATGGCACCCCACGGGATTAGCGGTTGCTATCTTGAAGTAGCCAGTTTCAAATGCCTCGGGGCGAGACTACTGCCCCTGCTGTTCGCAGGGTTTTCCCAGTCCTTAGAAAGTGCCCATAGGCCTGACTCGACATTTCCGTCGCCACAAAGAACTACGTGTACCAAGCATCCCCGTTGGTCAGTCTTTCACCAGTATTTGACCACCACTGCCTGAGGACCGTTTGTCGAGTGAAGTACGTCGACTTCGTCTCAAATAAGGCAGGCCGCACTCGTTGAGACAATATCGCGCGGATATCTCAGGCCATCCAAAAATGACGACTGAGATGGTTTGGGCGCGTTCTCCACCTTCTGGC